GAAGATTTTTTTTTTTTATAGGAAACCCCTTTGGAAAACAATACAGTAATTCATGCCAAGGGTCGCTAACGCATTTATACCCTTTCTCCCTGCCATCTCCTCCTGGGGCACTGACTAGAGGAAATAATCCAAATAAAGGAAGCAACGATATCCATAAAGACACGCTGCAGAGGTACTCATCATGGGGAAAATTGCGTAACCAAGTAAGTGATTTACATTAGGGTAATGATTAGTAAATGGTTCACTCACCGGAACACTATTCAACAATTAAGAGGAAGACGATGACCGTGGCGCATGGTGGAGAACTGCTTGTGGAAAATGAGAAGCTAAAGGGGCATGGTACAAAATTAGACCCGTGCCTGGATACTCAGCAAAAATACGGCTTGCCCTGGACAAGCGCAGGAAGGACATGTAGGCAAATAAAACCAGTGACAGCATTACCAGGGGGTTTGATTTACAATTCTGCCCAATGTTTCCATTGTATTGCTCGTTTATAATAGTTTAAAAGTTGGCTTTAAAGTTCCCTTTAGGGAAAAGAAAGACAGAAAAACTAGAGATCTGGGAGTCTTTTACTGGGTTCTAGGCAACCAACTATGCACATACGTATAGTATTTATATGAGGTGCAGTGTAAACTCCGGTTAAAAAAAGAATCAGCTCACTCAATGGAGTTTGGTTGTCTAGAGTTTGGAGTTTTGGTCCCATACAGCCCATGCCATCCTCCAAAATGCTATGTAGCTGAAGCTGACCCCGAACTCCTGAGGTCCCTCCTGCCTTCATTTCCTGAGTGCAAGGATGCAGGTGTTGGACAGCTGCCAGGCTTATTCAGTGTTGGGGATTGCACCAGTGTATGCTAGGCAAGCCTCTAACGCCTGAGCTACATCCCCATCGTATCCACAGGATCATAACAGTGGTAATCTTCATCCTCTCAGTCCGGACATGGAACTCAAGGCTGCCGAATGCTGGGCAAGCACTCTACCATTGCGCCACATGGCCACACCCAGCCTAGTAACCGTTAATCTCTGAATGCTGGGACCACCAATTGCACCTGACAGCTTAGTCTCAATTGTGCTGTGCTAACTATCTAAAAATATACTAGCAACACAGCAAATGCTAATTTCTCTTTCTGCTCCTCTCCCATGCCTAGCTGCTCCTCTGCCCACCACTGGCTCCACTCTGAGACCAGACTGCCACAAAGGTCTCTCTGTCTGAACAGTGCAGATCCCTGTCCCAGAGGGACACACAGGCAGTGGTCCACCCATCACTTCTTACAGTGGCGGCTGGGCACATCTCCTGCCCCTTCTCAGGTCTCTAGGATCTCCCGTACCCCAAGGAGTAGTAGCAAACGCTGAGCAGTTATACAACTCAGTCATTTTGCTCTGTGGCTTTCTCTGCTGAATCAAGCAAAAGAGAATATGCTTCTACCCCAGGAAATGGATGGTGCCACAGAGCAGGGCCAGAGTAAAATGGACCTTCATCATTAAAGCCACTCAAAGACGAGGTACTTAAGTGGTGTATCTGTGGGTTCATTGTCTGCAGATTGAAGAAATTCCCAACAGGTAATTTTGGGGGAGAAACTGCTTCTGTACTGAACACCTATATTTTATTCCTTGTCATTATGCCCTAAACAACACAATGCAGTCACACACACACACACACACACACACACACACACATATTTAATTAAAAATTATCTTTGAAAAGTTTGAGTATTTGCTTGCTTGTATGTGTACCACATGCATGCCTGGTGCCTGCAGAGGCCAGAACAGGGCGCCAGGTCCTCCCCCAGAACTTGGCGAGGAAACCATAATATGGGTGCTGGGAACTGAACCCAAGTCCTCTGCAAAAGTACCAACTGCTCTTAACCGATGAGCTATGGCCCCAGCAACACTCCCCGCAACACACACCTTCTTAAAAATTACATGTATTTATTTGGGGTGTCTGTGCATACCATGGCACTTGGGAAGAGTTAGAGGACATCTTGCAGGAGGCAGCTCTTTCCTACCAAGTAGGTCCTGGGGATCAAACTAGGATTGTCAGGCTTGCTGACAAGTGCCCACTGAGTCATCTCGACAGCCCTATTTACACAGATTTATACTGCATTAGGCATTACATGTAACCGAAGATGATCTAAATATAGGAGAAGAGGCCAGGCATGGTGGGACATGTCTGTAAATGCTAGCATCTGGGTGGTGGCAGCGGCAGAATCAAAAGTGAAAGGTTACTTTCAGCTACTCAGAGCTCAAGGCCAGATTACATGAGACCCTGTCTGAAAACACAAAACAGTGCTGAGAAGACAACAGCTAAGGTCCCCAAATGGAAGACTGGATGGTCGAGCCATGGAAGGCTCCCACTCCCACTTTGCCGTGTCGGGAAGTAGCCACTTTCCTGTCCTCACCCCAGGATGCGAGGTGGGAGAAGACAGTTTTGGGGCCCCTGTTTGGAGCCTTGAGGAAACATTCAACAGCTCGATTCCCGGGCCACACCTCCAGGAGGTTCTGATTCATCTGGAAGGGTGGGATGAGGCTGAGTCACGGGAGGTGATTGGGGCCACCCTGATCTCCCTGGCTCCCATCCAGTCCCTACACAGGCTCCCTGAGGTGCCTCAACAGGGAGGACCCAGACATCTCAGGTGGCACAAGTCCTGGCAGTTAGGAGAAACCCGAGTGGCCTCGGTTTATCTGATGGAACACCTGCCCCAGCGCTGTGCTAGCTTCTTGAATATCAAGATCAGGGGAAGGCTGGGGTGGGGACCCTTGAGCAGCAAAGGCCACCCACCAGCTGCTCTGAGCCTAGGCTGTCTAGGGCCCCAGGGGTATTAAGAATTGGTAAGAAAAATAAAACTTCCTTCCTTCCTCTCAGGCCCTCAAAACCAAATGCCCTTAGGCTCCCTTAGCTATCTGTAACACCTTAACCAACAGCCCCAGGGTTTATCTCTCTGAACATCTGTCAACATGGCATCAAGCTCCCTAAGAGCACAGACAGGTCTTATTTTATTCCTCTGTTCATGCCCAGTACAGTGCCTGGCATACCACTGGTGCTCATGAATAAAGGAGAGGGAGTAACAGTTACCACGAGGTCAAAGAAGGCCTGACATTCACAACCACCAGCACATGGAAAATACACACGTTTACCCCTGAGAGGTGGGGAGAACCCCATCCTTCATCATCCACTGGAGACTGAGCCCAGCATGCTTTCATCTGCAGGGTTTGTAAATTACTCTGGCACCCTAGTACCCTTTGCCATGATAAGGAGTCAGTTATAGCCCCTTAGGTTGAGGATGTAGCTCAGTGATGGAGGATTGCATAACATCAGGAGGGCCTGAGTTCCAGTCCCAGCACAACGAAACAAACCACACAAACACACACACACACGCGCACACACGGCATACAGCAAAACAAACCACACACACAGACATACAGCATACATCCAAACAAACCATGTGCATGCATACACACACACATACAAACACACTCATGCATGGCATACAGCCAAACAAATCATGCATACACAGACATACACATGCAAGGCATACAGCAAAATAAACCATGTACATGCACACACACACACATAAACACACTCATGCATGGTATACAGCCAAACAAACCATGCACACACAAACACACACAGAGACAGAGCATACAATTCCCAAGAAAAGCCAGGCAGTGGTGGCGCATACCTTCAGTCTCAGGACTCGGGAGACAGAGGCAGGTGGATCTCTGTGAGTTCGAGGCGAGCCTGGTCTACAAGAGTGAGTTCCAGACAGGCTCCAAAGCTACACAGAGAAACCCTGTCTCAAAAAACCAAAAAAAAAAAAAAAAAAAAAAAAAATTCTCAAGAAAGAGTGAAAGGCTGGGAATGGCTCAAGGGGGCGGAAGACATTTAGGTTTTCTTTAAGACAAAGAGTAAGAGATTTATTAAAAGAAAGAGATTTATTGACAGAAGTATTAATGTGACAGACACACAAACAGGCAGCAGCACAGTGTGGACTCTGAGGCGCATTCAGGCCCCAGTGCTATGGGCACATGGATAACATAGCTGGGGCTCTGAAGAGAATTCAAGTTCCGCAAGGCAAAGTTGTGGGGGGGTCCCTTCCTACAGGCTTCGGAGGAAGGGGGAGGGTTTGCCTTCCTCAGGGCTGTCTCCGACTCCCCTGCAGGCAGTAGGGGAGAGGAAGGAGGGTGTTGCATTGCCAGCAAGGAATAAGCCACTTTGAAGAGGAGGGGGCGTCTAGTTGAGGCAAACCCAATATGGCAGCCCTCCCATGTCCAGAGAGTATGACAACCTGGGGTCTATAGGGTGGGACACCGAGGAGCCCAGTGGGGCTAGGGATTCCCAGCCTGGCTTTTCTAGCATAGAACGAGGAGGTTGCTGCAGGTGAGCAGGAGTCTGGTCTGGATTCTAACACTGAGGGTCGCTCATTTAAAAAAAAAAAAAGGAAACTCAGGCTTAGTTCAGCAAGAGAATAATTGTCCGATTTGAGTAAGGCCATAGCTTTGATCCTAACTTGAGTTCAGTGAGTCTGAGGCCAGCCTGGTCTACAAAATGAGTTCCAGGACAATCAGGACTATAACACAGAGAAACCTTGTCTTGAAAAAGAAAAGGAAACAATCAGATAATCAGATAAACCCAGAGTATGGGACCCATTCTGTACGACAAATGGCCTTGACTAAAAATCTCAAATATGTTTTTTAATAAAAGATTTATTTTTATTTTATGCATATGAGTGTTTTGCCTGAATGAATGTCCATGTACCACATATGTGCCTGGTATCTGCAGAGGTCAGAAGAGGGTTCCTGGTCCCCTAGAGTGGGTGTCACAGATGGTTGTGAGCCACCACATGGCTGCTGGGAACTGAACCCTGGTCCTCTGGAAGAGCAGTGTTCTAACTACTGAGCCATCCCTCCAGCTTCTCAAATGGTTTTGTAAATATCCCATTCCTTTGTTTTTTTCTTGTTTAAGATACCCGGAGGGGATTTAGTTCTATTGATCACACATGCCATCTCAGTAAGTAACTCTTTACTCCAGAATGAGGGAGACTTCTCCAACAGACAATTCCCTACAGAATAACTTCCAAATATTGCTTGTTATTTAGTGTCCAAAAGTGCCAACAAAAGCCACTGTGACGAGTACCTCCTAGGCTCACATGGGAACACAGGCTGATCTGTGGCCCCTGAGATGTTGGTGGGTACCAGCTCCAGGACCAGAGATGCTCTTTCTCCCGGTTCACTGTAGCCATCCCCATGGGGGGACATCAGGGCCAAGCAATAACAACTTAAAGCAGAGAGGCCGGCACCTTAAAGCAGGCAGAGGAGAGATGTCCGCCGTGCTGGTCCAAACTTGGAAGTCCAACCGCTGTTGCCCTGTGGTGTGGGAGCAGCTGGTCATCCTCCTGACACAGGTGAGGGAGTCCTGTGCTGCCAGGCTTCTTGGAGTTGAGGCAGGAGGATCAGCAACAGTGAGTCCAGCACAGCTAGCCCCTCCCACGAACACCGGAGACCCCTGGGAAACCGAGAGGCCGGGGCATGACTCTTCCTTTACCGCTTTATGGCCCATTCCTGCCCGTGCACCCCTGGGACCCCACAGACCCTTCACTATTGGTCTTTCTTGTTTCCGCCACTTTGAAGAGGGGTGCATCTAGCTGAGGCACACGCGTTATGCCCAGCCCCCCACCCATGCCAATATCTGTAGTCAGGGCTCCCAGGGACCCCTTAGCCCCCTCTGCACCAACATACCTGTGGTCCAACAGCAACAGACCCTGCGCTCGCAGCTCCTCCACCTCCCTGCTTTCTCCGAACACGTCCCACAGGGTCAGCTGGGGCTCGAACCGCTGCCAGTGCTGGGAAACCAGAAGAGCTAGGGCAATGTGCTGGCTGAGGGCCAGGCGGCCGATCCAGGAAGGGGTCAGGGAAAGCCCAGCATGGTGTCTGAGCAATGACGTTCATGAACGCCAGGCCGGACAGGTCAACGGCCAGAGAGAAAGAGAGCACTTGCATTCTCAGTGCATGTGGAGACCCAAATCCGCATGGGGAAGGCAGGGGATGACAAGTTTCTTCTGCTCTCTCCTGTTGTCCCCTCGAATGGTCTTCATAACCCAAACGTCATCCACAGTAACCCTGAATCTAATTAGTCATTATCTTTTTTTTTTTTTTTTTTTTTTTTTGGAGACAGGGGGTTTCTGTGGCGTTTTTGCCTGTCCTGGAACTAGCTCTTGTAGACTGGGCTGGCCTCGAACTCACAGAGATCCGTCTGCCTCTGCCTCCCGAGTGCTGGGATTAAAGGTGTGCGCCACCACCACCCCAGTCACTATCTATTACCCTTCCCATCTGAAGTTTCAGTGTACTTGAGAGTACTTGGGCGACAGGTATGGTAGTGCACGCTTTTAATCCCAGCACTCGGGAGGCAGAGGCAGGTGGATCTTTGTGAGTTCGAGGCCAGCCTGGTCTACAGAGTGAGTTCCAGCATTGCCAGGGTTACACAGAGAAACCTTGCCTTGAAAAACCAAAACCAGTACTCAGCCCTAGTCTAAGGTTCTGACCATTATACAGCACTGCCTACTGATTCTGTCATCAGGCTCGGCGAGCCAGGCCCATCTTCCAGCTGTCAACTCAGATGATGGAGGGAGAGGGTTTGCTGATTCTTAAGAGGAGCTGAGCTGATGTATCTAAGAATCCCCAGTCCCTTACCTGATGAGTGACCCCCACATCAGTGCGCAGCCCCATAGCCAAAACCTCCTCCAGCCTGAAAGAAAATCACATGGGATCTTAGGGGAAAGCTCTCACGTTCTTCTTTCTTTCTTTCTTTTTTAATATTTATTTATTTATTATATATACAACATTCTGCCTGCAGGCCAGAAGGGGGCACTAGACTTCATTACAGATGGTTGTGAGCCACCGTGTGGTTGCTGGGAATTGAACTCAGGACCTTAGGAAGAGCAGGCAATGCTCTTAACCACTGAGCCATCTCTCCAGCCCCAGCTCTCACGTTCTTTAAGCCCAGTGCTGGAATGTGATGTTAGGCTTAGAACCCCCGCAGGATAGTCAGAGTGGGAGAGTCAAGGCAGGCAATAATGATGTAAAAGGCAGAGAGCGGTTTCTGGGGTTCAGGAGGCCCTTGGTGAAGAGCCCTGTGTACGTAGGTACTCACACCTCCAGCTTGCTCAGGGGAACACACTTCCGGGTGCCATGACCACACAGCATCACCTCTTTCATCCAGTTGTCTGGCTCCAGCGTCTGGATCCGTGCTTCCCGGGTGTGACCTCCGGCTCCCCGGGACACAAATCGTCCGTGGGCTCCTGACAACATCAACAAACAACCATCCCTCACGTACACATTGACAGAAGTAAGTTAACGTGGTGAATTATCAGATTTAAATCAGGGACTTTCCCAAGGGTGGTCCCCGAAGCGACCACTAGAAATGTAAATCCTCAGGTCCTGCTCCAGCTCTGCCAGTGAGAGGTGCTGCAGGGAGGGTCCAGTCAGCATTCTTGGTTGCAACAAGCCCCCAGGGGTTTCTGTTCTATACCAGACTCAGAACTAAGACACCAGGCTGCAAAGGCCTGGAGAGTCCCTTTCCGTGGTTCCACAGAGAAGTTTTGTGTACTTTGCATAAGGAAATGCAGGCTCTGAGTGGTTAAATGAGCAGTCCAAGTTCACACAACCAGAATGCTCCTCTCCTGAATCATGCTTTCGGGTGTTCACAATCGACTCACCAGGCCCAATGCCAAGGTACTGACCACACTGCCAGTAAGTCCAGTTGTGGGTACTGAGCGCCCCCTGTGGGAAAGGAGGGAATTGTCAGCACTGAAAGAGGCTTCTGGCTTCGGTTTAGGTCAGCGGCATCTGATGAGAACGTCTCACCAACTCAGGTCTGAGTGCACCCAACTGGGAACCCCTCTCTGCAGAAGGTTTCGTTCTCCGGGTCACATCTCAGCCCAATGATTTTGCATCTCCGGTCATCAACCCAGCACTCACGTTCCGTGCAAAGTTGGAGACCTCATACTGGCGAAAGCCAGCGTCTCGAAGGGCCGTCCTGCCCTCCTGGTACATCTCAGCAGCCAGGTCGGGGTCAGGGGCTGGGAGGGTGCCCTGCTGCACCTGGGCAAAGAGTGAGGTACCCCGTTCCAGGGTCAGCTGGTAGAGGGAGAGGTGGTCATCGCAGTGGTACAGCAGTTTCTGGAGCTGCTGAAGCCACGGCTCCACCTTTTGTGCCGGCAGCCCCAGCATCAAATCCACCGATACTCTGCCAGGGAAGAGGCGCCTGGCTTCTGCCAGAGTCTGCAAACCGTCGCTGGCCGAGTGAGTCCGTCCCAGCAGCTGCAGCTCCGTGTCATCCAGGGACTGGGGAGAGAGGGTCGGGTGTAACAAGGGAGGCAGCAACACTCAGCCTTATTTGGGGCACAGATGTGAGGGACACACAAAGACAGATGGGGGTGACAATGTAGGTGGTCAAGGCAGTACCCAGAGCTACTCCTCAGTGAAGGGTGCATTAATCCCTATAACTCTGGCTCTCTTGTGTTTTGTTGCCTTTTGAGACCAGGTTTCACTAAAGAGCTCAGGCTGGTTTTGAACTAGGCAATCCTCCTGCTTCAGCCTCCTATGGAGTGAGGTGACAATTGTGTACCACCACACCTATACCTAAGGGTTTCTTAATTTAGATTTCCCTCTTGTTTCCTCATAATTAGAGGCCAGGTATGGTGTAATCCCACATCTGTAACCCCAGTACCTGGGGAGGTGGAGGTAAGAGGATCAAGACTTCAAAGATGGCCTCAGCTACACGACACATTTAAGGCCAGAGCGGGCTAGAAAACTTGTCTTCAAAGAAAGGAAGGGGGGCGGGGAAACAAGCACTTTGAGCAAAAACATCCAGACATGATGTATCAGGACTATCCTGTGACCCCAAACTCTAAGTGACGTGGTCTACTCTGTGGTAAATGGGGGATACAGAAACATCAGAGGTCAACCTGGCAAAGATTTTTCCTGACTCATAAACACACCTTCAGAGGCTCCACAATGGGAGAAACCCCAAACTCCCGCAAGAGCTGAAGGCTCTCAGTCCTGTTTGGCAGCCTTGTCCCCAGTCACAGGGGATGATACAGCTTCCCCCAAAACATGCAACGTCCTTCCACATCCTGTGCCCTTTCCTCCCACACCCCCTTACTGGGTGAACACCTGCTCCGTCTCACTCATGTATCACTTCCTTCAGGAAGGCTTCCAGGATTTCATCAGGTTGGGTGTCCCTCAGGCAGTATTTACCTCGCCATGCTCTGGCTGCTGGCCTGTCTCCATCTCCAATCTTATAACAAGTCCCGCCCTGTTTTTAGTCTTTCTTTCTTTGATGTCTGAATGTGTGTAGCGTGCCTGTGTGTATATGTGTTCACATGTATGTGAGGGTGAGGGCAAGTGCATGTGTGTGTGTGTGTGTGTTTATGTGGAAGTCTAAGGTTGATATTGGGAGTTTCCTTAAATCTTCGCTACCATATTCACTAAGCCAAAACCACAGCTGATAAGCTGAAGTCTGGCTAGCCAGCCTTAAGTGAGGGGGATGGGACCCCTTTAATTGTGTCTCCAAGTGCTGGGACTACAGGCAGGCTGCCATACTCACTTGGCGCTTGTGTGGATGCTGGGGATCCAAACTCTGGTTCCCACGTGCACAGTAAGGACTCTAACCACTGGGCCATCCACACCCATGCAGTATCTACTATGTAGTAGGTACCATGTTAAGTGCCTGGAATACAAAAGGGTAAACTAGCCAGGCGTGGTGCCTCTAATCCCAGTGTTTGGAAGGCTCAGGCAGGGAGATTGCTGCGAGTATAAGGCCAACCTGAGCTACAGTGTGAGTTCTGCTATCAAAGTAATAATAATATTAATAAGGGCAGGGGATAAAGCTCAGTTTGTAGATTGCTTGCCCCTCATACCTGTGTTCGATTCCCCAGCACCACGTAAAGTGGACGTGGTTGCACTGGAATCCCAATACTTAGAAGATGGAGGCAGAAGACGGTCATTCTTGGCTACCTATCAAATTTGAGGCTAGCCTGAGCTACAGGGTACAGTGTTGCAAAACAGCAATAATAATATGATGATGACGTCAAGGAAGCATATAGGCCAGTATAGCAACAGACAGAACGGTTAAAAAAAAAAAAAAGTATTGCTCCACAGTCTACCGTGTAATAGACCTGGTACCCGGAAATGTTTTTCCAATGGCTGAATTCCACCTTAGGGTCTGGGTGAACTGGGATAGGGTGGATAAAATGGGTCACCTGCAGACCAATGGACAACCTGTTGACTCCTGCTGCTCCAAAAGCTGCCAGCCTGGAACCTGGGGCTGAAGTGGGGTTAGCCTCCAATGTGACTTCCGAATCTGCAGGCAAATGGGCTTCCTGTGCCACGGCCTCCAGGACAGCAGCCACAGTGTGAGGACTGGCCAGACTCGGGGTTCCCCCACCAAAGAACACAGACTCCACCCTGGAGGAAGAGGATGGAGCCGTAAAAACTGGTGAAGCCCCAAGGGACCTCTCTTTCAAGACCTCGTCTACTGACCCGAACACCGACCTTTGCACCCCGCTGAGCCGCAGCAGCGTCCGTGCCTCCGTCACCAGGCAGTTCTGCAAGGCCCCTTCCTCCACGCCGCGGGGTATGTACTTATTGAAGTTGCAGTAACTGCAGCGCTTCTCACAATAGGGCCACTGGGGGACAGGCGGGGTGCGTGTGCAAGTTGAGGTGGGGCTCTGAGCTGCCCAGGCTATTTCCAGGGTTTATCTCACACATTCCCGTTCTCTTTCTATGGTTGGTCAGCGGTGGCTGCGACAACTAAGCTACTCTGCGCCCCTAGGCAGGTGGCACTGAGATTACTATGCCCGCTCTGGTAGGACAAGATTCCAAAGGGTCACCCAGCTGGTGAGCACCAGGCTTTTAGGTCTTTGGCCCAAGACTTTTTCCGGTGAGGTAGAACGTGGGGGACAGATGCTATGCCAGATGTGACTGATGTTGGAGCACGGAAACTAACAACAGAAAGACAAGCGCCAACCAGGGGCTCCCTCTGCCCTCCCCCGCCCACTCACGTGCACGTAAAGCGCGGCGCGCGTGCTCGCGGACTCGGGACTCCGAGGCTGTCCCAGGCTGTCCACACGGGGGCGCCTGTGGGCCGCCCTGGCTGCTGCCACCCATCTCCCGATCCGGACCCGGGAAGAAACCATGGCGTGCAAGGCTGTAGAAGCAGGGTTCCGAGACCTCGACAGCGCGCCCAGGGCGCAAGGGTATGCCCTAGGCTGGACCGCGTGGGTCGCCCCGGCGGAAGTCCGAGGAGCTGTGTGACCTCGTATTGCCTCTCCCGGCGCGGCTAGAGAGCCCTGGGCCTCGGATCTGCGGCGCCACCTGCCGGACCCTGTCGTACTCACAGCCTAGTCTTTCCCAAGGGCGCAGCCCGTCTGTCCTTTCCCAAGGACGTGGAGTGGGCAATGGGCCTCGTGGCAACCAGCATCGGGGCAACTTTCATGACCCGTGCAGGAACTCTTAGTTCTTACAGTCAATTACTTATAATGTGTACCTGGCTCCGATCTGAACGCCGGGAGACGTAGCTCACTGAATTGAATCTTAACTTGGTTTGTCTCTCCGGTTAGACTATGACCTGATTTTAGGCGCCCATGTCTCGTCCCCCTCCTGGGTGCTCATAGTCTGTCTCAAAGAAACAAAAAAGAGGGGACAGACATCACGGCCCAGTAAGGAACTGACAACACACACACGCACACACACGTATGCACACACAATAATAAAATAGCTATAGCATGCATGCAATACACAACACATGCATGCAGGCAAAATACTCAGTCACATACTTTTTAATTAAGTAAAAATTTTGCTTAAAAAAAGAAAGAAAAGAAAGCCATGTGCGGCAGTACATCCCTATAATCCTAAAACTTTGGAGGTAAAGGTAGGAGAATCAGGAATTCAAGCTCTTCTTTGACTATCTAGGGAGCTTGAACCCAGGCTGGGCTACATGGGGCGCGGTGTTTCAAGAAAAGTAAGGGGGCTCTTCCAGAGAACCCAGGACCCACACTGTGGCTAATAACCATCTGTAACTCCAGTACCAACTTCCTCCATCACTTCATGCATGTGGTGCACAGATACATGCAGGCAAACTACCCATACACGTGATATGAAAGTATTTGAGGGAGAGAGGGAGGGAAAGGCAGAAAAGAAAAAAAAAGAGTTCTTTTCCACAGAGTATTGGCTTAGCCAGGAGAGTGAGTTGTGGCCTCTGAGTCATGCCAATCCTGGCATGTGAGGGAAGAGGTGGCGGAGATGGTGTGTGTGAGAAGGTCAGGACACACGCGAGAGGCTTGGAGGGACTGTTTGCAGACTGGAAAGATCTGGAGGGCTTTGGAGTTACTCATTGCTAAGCAGTTCTCACTTTTCTTCGGGCCTCAGGAAGCTAAGGTTCTGGGCACACAGCATCCAGGAGGAACAGAAGAGAATGGGCCAAGCTCTCTGTCCTTGTCCCCTCTAGAAACAGTGGCTGAGCCCGACAGTATGTGACCCTAGAGCACACAAGTCAGGAAGGCCGTTTTTCTATCCTCTGGCTGCAGCACGAGTGGGACACACACAGATGAGACCCCACCCACACCAGGCAGCTCTCCTGACCCTGGGATACCAGGCTTCAGCCAGTCCAGCCTTTTCTCTCTTGCTGTCTCTAAGTAGTGCACATGCTTCATGTAACGTGACTGAATGTTCTGTCTACAGGAGCCAGGCAAATTGATGACCAATACAAAATGAACCTGTTCCAGACAGCTGGGTCTAGAAGATTCACTCACATCTTCTGTCAATAAAACTAACGGCTCAGGAGACAGAGAGCATTGGGAGAAGAAAGCTTGAGAAATGGCGGTTCAAAATCTCTTAGCTGCCATCTTGCTATTAACCCTACTTGTGGGCCTTTTGTGCCTTTTTTCACTTATTCGTGTGTGCGTGTGTATGGATACTCATATTACAGGGCTTCTGTGAAGATTAGAGGAGAACCCGAGGGAGTTGGCTGCCTGCCTCTACTCGGTGGATCCCAGAGATCAACCTAGTGCATGAGCTTTGGTGTCTTTTGCTCCCTGGTCTCTCTCTCACTCATCCTCTTTCAATGCAGTTTTGAAAGCAGAAAGGGGTGCAAACCAGAGAAGGGTAGACACTAAGAATTATTAATCTTCCTTTAGCTGAAGTTAGCAATCACATCAACTATGTGAATCTAGAACAAAATGGATATGTTCATAAACTCTGTTTTTCCATGGCCAGGTTTGACTTTTGTTGTTGTTTGGGGGGATTTTATTGTTCTTGTTTTCCTAAGACAGGGTCTCACTATGTAGCCCTGGCTGGCCTGGAACTCACTGAGTAGACCAGGCTGGCCTCAGACTCAGAGATCACTAGATAACGTGGGTGTCTGGATCAACAACAGGAAGAACACAGCATTTGCCGGGAACAGGGACATGCATCTGTAATCTCAGTGTTTGGGAGGTTGAGGCAGGAGGATTACCAAGAATTAAAGGTCAGCTTGTGTTTCTGTCTCACAAAAAAGGGAGAGAGAAAAGGATCGGGGAGAAATACATTACAAATCAGGGAGAATTGAAGTTGTGCTGGAGAGATTTTCCTAACCCACCAGGTGACTTCATGTCATTGGGTAAGAAAGTGGAACTCCGTGTTTCGGGGTCACCTCTGTGGAGTGGATGGATGCTTAATGGGGCTGCCAGGAAGCTTTCAAGAGAAGATGCCTGTGAAGGCATCTGGACCGGTGCCTGGTCCTTAAGAGGAACTTAAACGTAACACTCAGCTCTTCAACAGTAAGGGGGTGCTGATGCTGGGGCAGCCGTGCAGGGAACTCAGGGCTGCAGAAGGGGGCAGTCCCGTGAGGGGGAGGTCAGTGCTTCAGACAGAGGCATTTCTGACTCTTCCAAGCGGGAACTGAAATTGAGGAAAATCGGACTTCATTTGATTTTAGTTGCCTGGATTTACTCAACTTTAAAATCAGTTAACCATGGGCCAGCAAGACGGCTCAGAGGGTAAGTGTGCTTGCCACCCAATGATGTGGGCCTAATGTTTTGACCCCCAGAACTCACATAAAGGTGGAGAGGATGGACTCCAGAAGGTGGGGCTCCGCCCTCTACGTGTGTGCTGTGCCATCCTCACCTACACCCCCACCCATTAAGCACATATTTAAAAATTAATAAAAACGATAAATCGATCATTGGGAGCCCTATATAGTGGCACACACCTGTCACGGCAGCACTTGGGAAGTGGAGGCAGGAGGATCCAGAGTTTAAGCAGCCGTCCTAAACTCCACAAGGAGATTGAGACTAGGTTACTACATGAGACCTTGCCTCAAACAAAAAGTCAGTTAGACTGATGATGTAGCTAAGACAGAGCCTAAGCAAGTTTGAGGCCCTGGCTCCCATCCCTACTACAGAGGGGGAAAAAAATCCTATTAACTTTTGGGGTCACACAACTGACTAATATTAGTCACTTGTTCCCCAATAACTTTGCAGTAGATGGCACTCTGAAAAGGGTCATTGTTGTCTACATTACTTTTCTGGGGCCTGAGGTTTACCTTTATGAAATATTTATTTGACTCTTTATTTTGGCCTATTCGGGTATCCAGTGGCTGGGCTTTGGGCATCAGAGGACAGAACACTCTACCCTAAGATCATGCTAATGGCACCATTGACCTGCCAAGAGTCATGAAGATTAGCTACTCACTGGCAGGCCACTGACCGTCAGTCCCAGTCTCGTTCCATGTTCCAAACTGTTCTACATTTTTTTATTGCTGTTTTGGTTTTGTTGGTTTAATGAGCAGAATCTGTTCATTAGAAAAATCCCAGGTTCATTAATCAAAAATTATAGAAAAAAATAAGAAGTGGGTAGTTTGAAAAAGATAAAAAATGATAAACATAAGGTTTCCCTTCCTTCCTTCCTTCCTTCCTTCCTTCCTTCCTTCCTTCCTTCCTTCCTTCCTTCCTTCCTTCCTTCTGACTTGTTTTGTTGCTGATTTGCTTTTTGAGACAAGGTCATGACGTAGTCCAGGATAGCTTTGAACTTGCAGCAATCACCTTGCTTCTGTCTTCAAAGTAGTGAAATTACGAACATGAATCTCGGTACCCAGTAAGATCACAGTAGTGTATTTGGAGCAGGAGAGATAGTTCCATGGTTCAGGGCACTGCTGCTCGTGCTGAGGACCTGGATTCAGCTTCCAGCATCCACCTGGAGGATCATAACCATCTGTAACTCCTGTTTCGGGAGAGCCATCTTCTTCTGACCTCTGAGGGCACCAGGCAGGCAGGAGGCACACTAATATATGTGCAAACCAAACGCTCATACACATAAAATAAAAACAGATCAATTGATTTCATGTAGACAAGTGTTTTTGCTTGTATGAGTCTGTACATTGTGTGCACACCAGGTAGCCCACTGAGGTCAGAGGAGGGTGCTGTATTTCCTGCAACTGAAATTATGGATGGTTGTGAGATGCCATGTGGGTGCTGGGAAACAAACCCAGGTCCTCTGCGAGAGCAGCCAGTGCTCTTAGCCCTGATGCATCTCTCCAGCCCCTACAGAGTCTCTTAGGAGGCGACGGTAATGGTTAAAGTTGGCTTTGGAGATAGTTAAACCGATAATCAGACATGAAAATGGTGGGGAAACACGCTTTAAAGTGGGTGAGCGGGACATCATGTGAGCTATATAGCTCAATAAAGCTGTTATTTGACAGATTTGTTTTTATTTATCTGCATGTGTCTGTGTAAGTATATAGCACATATTGGGGGGGTGTGTGTGGTGCCCCCAGAGGCCAGAAGAGGGCATGTGGTCCTGTGGAGCTGGAGTCGAAGGTGGTTGTGAGCTGCCAAATGTGGGTGCTGAGAATCAAACTCAAACCCCCTGGAAAAAGAGCAGGTCCTCTCAGCCAGAGTCATTCCTCCGCCCACAAATCTGTTATTTTTTAAAAACTGAAAAATTATCGGCTGGGAGCGTATGCCAGCAGACAAGTCCTTATCTAGCATACGAGGGACTTTAAGATTCTCAGCAACGGGGAAAGAAACACAGCACTACTTATTCCTGGACTAATCTGTGGTGATAATTTGGAAAACAATTACATGAGTAAAACAAAAAAAACCAAAAAACAAAAACAAAAACGAAGGCAGACATGGAGGCACACGACTTTGATCTCAGCACTCCAGTGGCAGAAACAATGAGATCTCTGTGAGTTCAAATCCAGCCTGGTCTACATAGTGAATAGCAGTACAACCAGGACTACACAGTGAGATCCTGTGTCACACGAACACTCTTGCACATACACCACACACACGCGCGTGCGTGCATACACACACACATACAAGAAAAGGAC